TTCCTCCTCGACAAGACCAGTATTTCATATTTCATTCCCACACAATTAAACAGGTAAGGTAATAGAATGAAACTGAAGAGTGCGATTTCTTGTCTGATAATTTACACAATAAATTGAAGTTCTAAAATCTGAAATATCAGGAGCATTTTCATGGCGCTCTACGAACGTTTTTTCGTACCAAAAACAAATTGTCCTTTGATTTGATTAGTTAACAGCCAAATTAGTAAACAGAATTGCCCCGTTTGCTGTATTTCCTGAATAATTACACAAATTAATGGTGGTTTTTAGTCTGGCCCTGTAGCTGTGCAGCCGAAAATTTTTTCTTTACACTGCGTTCTTCTCGGATGATGCCTGGGACACTGAATGGACAAAACTAACAGGAAGTTTTGCCAATAACACTCAAAAAAGTAACATAGGAGCATTTTTGCCATGACACATAAAACTAAATTTTCAAAACCAGCGGTGGAACTGGGAAAAGAAACGATGGAAAATGCCAGAGCGGCATCAACAAGGGCAGCGTCAAAGCACTGGATTGTTGCTGCACGAAGAGCATCGTCGGCCACTGATGCAAGATCTTGGCTAGCCAATATTCAGAAGAGAAATAAAGTGGCGCCGTTTTCCTCAAAGTAAATGTCTTCAAGAAATTTTTTTTTTCTCGAAAAAATACTAATTGGTTGTACCATCAGACAGGACAAGTTTGGCACAACGAACAGGTGTTATTTCCCAAGTGTTTTTTGAAAATAGATGCTTTAAGAGGTCTTTTAACTAAAGTAACTCATCAATTTCCTATTGTGAGAATATATTATGGTCAATGTTCTGAGAATTTTAAGCTTCTCTTGTCTACGTCATATAATAGTTTCAGTAAAAATATAGGATGTGTAGATCGTCCTGATACGTGAAGGGCATAGTTTAGAAAGGATTTATATCACATAACAAGTATTAAGCAGAACACTAATAAGCATGCCTTCTGGAAGGACGGGTAAGCAATGATACTACCAGCAGTCTTGTAAGTGACGACACTAGGATGATTATCGGTGTAATGAGAGCCAGACTTATGTAAGCAGCAGCAACGCTTATTACACCACTTCTCGTCCACATCCCCGGAGCTTCACCCTTCGACGGGACAAGTCACTGTCCAGTAACTAAGGCGACGCTTACAAAGGCAGAATAGTGCATAAATCAAATCCACTAAGAAATATCTGCAAAAATAAAACTGGCACAATGTGAAATGACAAATGGGAATCGGCAAGAAAAGAAAATAAGAAACGAGAAGTAGGGAAGGATGGATAAAGATGATTTGTGTTGTTACAGGAAATGATATCTCAGCTCCTTTACATTCCCGTTTTTCTAGCACTTGTGCATGAAGACGCAGACTGTGTCAGATGCTTACGGTACGGATTTCCTTCTGGCTGAAGTGCAGTGTGCGTAATTACAGGATTTGTGAGCGCCACCTTGAACTGGAACCTCTTTGCTGCCTCTCCTCATGTCTTGTACGTGGCGGCTGTACTGCTGTTGCCGCATTTGAGTACACTTACATTGTTATTACAGTTATTGCAATCATATTACGTTTACATGAGAGTGGACAGTTCAGGTATGTTATTGTCCCGGATTTGAACTTCCACGGCCAAGTGTTTTTGCAAAAGTTTCTTGTTTGTTATTTGTTCTTTCATGAATGATTTATGAAGCTGAATGAATGTAGTACCTCTTTTTTCTTTAAAAAAAAAATCTTTCAGGTTTTGGTCTCAGTTCAAGCTGTCGTACAATCTGATAGTTACACACAAAGCATTTCTCTACGTTTTGTTAGGCTACGACTTAGTAAGCTTCTTTAATATGTAATGCTACAGCAATCTTTTTTTTTTAATTTGAATCTGTACCCAAACGACCTGCAGCAACGATACCCTTCGGTTAGCAAACACAAAGGTTTTCTCGACATTTTGTATCGGGCGCTTATTGTGAAGATGTAATCGATAATAGAAAACTGCTTCCTGGAGCCTGGTTGTTCTTGAGTCATTTTCATCAAGAGTCATTTCTATCCAGTTGGGTATTACTTAGTAAAATTTTGTAAAAATATGGCACTAAGGCCGGTACAGGTGTTTTTGCGGTCTCTTTTCCTTTTTATTAGCAACATCCCAGATCGCATCCGAAAAAAAAGGATATATTCCAATGAAGAAATATTTGTCGACTGGCAATAATTGATTTTGCAAGCTAAAAAATTCTTTTTTATCACTCGTGCTTTTTTGAGTCGCTAACAAATCAGTGGCTCTTTCTAGATAACATTTGCAATGGCCACTGGACTTC